TGTAAATAGGGAGGGATGGAGGGGTTGAAGGGAGGGCAGGGGAATGGGGTAAAAATAAGAACCAAGAGAGATGATGTAAAGGTGCAAATTTCCAATGATGAATATCATTATATTGTATACCTAAAATGTACCAATAAAATAAAAAAAAGAAGTCTTTGATGGCAACAATAAAGACAAACTAGCATTGCCTTTCCTTTCTTAAGCTGCATTTCTCTCCAAGATTTTGTTTCAATCAATATCACTACTGCTATTCATGCAATAGTGCTACTATTGCTACTCATTCTTTTTTTTTTTTCAAGGGGTTTTCATTGTTTTTTGATTTCCTCTTTTTCTAATCATTAATGAAGTTTATTGGTACAGTTTAGATAAATATGATAAAAAATAATCTCTTCAAATTCTGCTCCAGATTAGTTTATGTTAGGAAATAGGGCTTGAGCTTCATAATCTACTTTATTCCTTTCTAGAAACTGGGGGATTTGTTTCTCTCCAACCTTCTGGCACTTCCTGTATGCTCCATGATTTTGCAAAAAGTGCTGATGGTAATCCTGAAACCTGTATGAGTCTCTTCAGCTCCTGGTGGGCAATTCATTTGAGTCTTGAAAATTTTAATTCATTTAAACTGATACTCTTGCTACCTTATCTTGTTTTGGTTTAATTTCTCCTGATTCAGGTTGCTTATCTTACTTTTTACTGTTGGTAAAGTAATTGTGGTATTTCAAAATTATACTGGAAGCAATATAGGAATGGTATAGATCTGATTTCTGTCTATAAACAGCAACTGATAAGATTATCTTCAGACAGTGAACCACTTCCTTCTTGTTGCTCTTGGTCCAAACACAAATTTAAATGCTCTTTGTGCTTTCAGAAGCATCTTAGCTCCTTTTGAGCTTTGGCCTTTAAAAATAACATTCTTAGGTGTTTATTTCTTCAAGTTTAGGCCATCCGTCCTGCCGCTCCCGACCCAGAGGTAGGGGCTTCTGAGCCGCCATCCCACTGTTCCTGGTCCAGAGGAAGGGGTTTCCCGGCCACCATCCCTACCGCCACTCCCGGCCCCTTTCCCACCTCTCCCAGCTCAGAGGAGGTGAGCCGGGTGGGCACCAACAGCACTCCCCCTGCCCCCCCAGTCAAAATGAGAAAACACATGAATAAGTCTCAAAACCAGACTTCCAGATCACCTACAGCAACCCCAAAGGGAAATGAGATGGAACACTCTGATACTCA